GTCATCACCTCGTGCTAAGCTGGACAAGCTCTACTTCCGTCTCCCCAGCTCTGAGAGGTCCTGCCTGGCCACTCACCAGGCAGCTCTTCCTGTCCACGCCTTCCCTCTATGGCATCTTGCCATCCAGGGGACGTCCCTCCTGTTACCGAGACCGCCTTCCTGGGCCCTGGGTCCTGTGGAGCAGGACAGAGTGCCGTCCCCATCTCTCCAGGACCCTGTGCCGGTCTGTGTCGTGTACCTGAGCCTGGACTCTGGGACCACGTGTCCTCCCGTCTCCTCCGTGTGCTTTGTCAGGAGACATGAAGTACGTTCTCAGAGCCACAGCTGCCTGAGCTGTGCCAGAACACTGTGTATCCTTCTGCCGGGCACTCTCTCCAGTTCTGTTTATAAATAAAGTGGTTGATTTGAATCACCCAAGCAGATATTTCATTTAACCTAGGGGGCCCATTGGGCTGGAATTAAGTGAGGAGCTATACTACTTTGCAAATTTTTTTAACTAATTTATTTATTTTAATTGGAGGATAATTACTTTGTAATATTTTTAAGTCGAAAATAAGAGCAAGGATCTTGCTATCCCATGCTGAACAAATGTGCATCCTCAGTGCAGTGGAGGTGAACCCAGGAAGCCTGCAGAGGGGTTCTGTCAAAGTCTCTCTCTCCTTCCCACCAACGCTGAGGCCCCCAGAGAGCTGGGCCCCTGGCTTGGAAGTCCTCCGGCCGGGCAGCTTTCTTCCCCACTCTGCCAGGGCCCTGCCAACAGTAAGCCTGCTTCCCAGGACGATGTGGGCCTGGAGCGTGGTTAGATGCCCCCCACCCCGCCTCCCCACTGGCCTGATCTACCGGTCAGCCTGCCCTGCGTCTTTGACGCTGACATCTGGGAGAGGCCAAGCCTTGGCAAGCTCACGAGCAGCTCCTGTGAACCTACACACAGGCTGCAAGGAGTCTTGTTTTTTGATTTTTCTTCCCTTATAACAAGCAAAGTTCACATCACAGACAAATTGCCTGGAAGTTCCAATTTAATAAGGCATATGCATTTTTCAGGCCTAGGCGCACAGAAAATGTCTTGCACACCAGTATTCTTGAGCCAAAAGGTTTATTAAAGAGACAGCTTTGAAAATGCAGAAACGTACATAGAGTGCCTGGCCAGTCAGTCTCAAGGGCTCGTCGGCCAGGAGGTGGGAGTGCAGGCTGGGTGACGAGTGCTGGGCTTTCTTCCCCTCGGGGGTAGACACTCCAGGGCTGGAGAGGGGCACAGCTACCTCAGGGGGCCTCCACAAGCTCTGAGTTTGGAGGCCGTGGGTTCAGGGCAAACAGCGCTGGGCACTCGGGCATTCTCAGTAAATGGAATGACCCCAGCCTGCCCTCTCCGTGGCTGCAAACCTGAGTAGACGCAGGAAGATGGACATCCAGGAGATCTGGGATCCAGGAGAACCTCCCCAACATCTCGGTGGGTAGAGGCAACAGAGAAAGTCCATTAACTAACAGAGGAGGGCAAGGGGCCCAGAAGGCATGCAATTAAATAGCACAGCGATGGAGACCTGGTTGCTTTTTCATATATACATAATGTTTTTTATTTAGTTTTGGCTGTGCTTAGTCTCATTGCTACGTGGGCTTTTCTCTTGTTGTGGTGCTCGGGCTTCTCGTTGCAGCGGCTTCTCTAGTTGTGGATGGAGCACGGGCCGGAGGGTGAGAGGGCCTCAGTGGTGCAGCTCCCGGGCTCCAGAGCACAGGCTCCGTAGTTGTGGCACGCGGAATCCTGGTTCCTCGGCACGTGGGGTCTTCCGGGACCAGGAATCAAACTTGTGTCTCCTACATTAGCAGGCGGATTCTTTATCACAGAGCCACCAGGCGAGCTCCCAGATCTGGTTATTTTTCAAAGAAAATAAAATAGTGGGGTATTATCCTGTAAAACCACTCAAGCTCTTGCTTTCACTGGGAATGTGGTAGGTACAGACCTAAACCACCAGGCATTGTTCTCAGGGGACAGCTTCCAATCAACCAACCCCTGTAAGCTTTTTATTCAATATAACTCTTCCCTGCACAAGAAGCCAACATGGTCATTATGGTGCAAAACTGTAGCAACAGAGGACCAAAAACAAAGACAGGAGAATAAAAGGGCGCTCTTAGCCAAGGTGGAATGCAAGATTACTTAATTCAGTTTTTATTTATAATCTAAACTCTGAGTTAAGTAATCAGGGAACAAAGTACAGTCTATTTAAATTTTTCATTATTTCAAATATATTGACCCACCACAAATCACTCCTGGATCAACCTTGAACTTGTTACCCTGTAAGATGGGAAACAAATGTCACCATTCTTCGTGTTTTCCATTTGCTTGATGTTCCAACCGAAAAAGAAAGAATAAAGCAACATCCAACGGGCAGCCACCTGCTCTGGGCACTCCACTCCACCCTGCGAATGCAGAGCGGCCAGTAAGTACCTGGTCGTGGGCATGAACACACTGTATCCTGGCTAGGCTCCAGTGCCTGGAATCTGGCACACCCGTGTTTAATTCCATCTTGGCTGCTTCTTAGCTGTGTCGCTTTGGGCAAGTGGCTAAGCCTCTCTGAGTCTTGGTTATCTCATCTTTAGAGAGGGATGATGCCCACTTGATCAGGTTGCTGTGCACCACAGAAGTAAATGTGGCACTAACTGTGAATGGTGAGCACAAAGCCGGGTACAGCAAGCATGCAGCAATACAGCCAACTGGAACCTCATCCTGACGTTGAGAAACTGATGAAGGTGTTGAGAAACTGGTGAAGGTGGCAGGCCTATGAGGGCCCATACGCTGCTCTTACAGACATTTTCATCCGTGTGTGTGCCCAGCAAGGATGAGAGGATGGAGTGACTAACCCTTCTAACCGGGGGACTCAAAGCAGGCGGGCAGTTGGGCGGGGGGGCAGGCAGAGGACACATTTCAGGTGGGTCTTAGCAGATAGCATCTTGCCAGGTGGAAGTGTAAATTACTATCAAGCTGAAAGGCGGATGTTTTTAAAGCAGTTCGCTCTCAGGAGTAATTTATACATTTCTTCTGTTTTGAAGAAATATGGAAATGATAACTGAGGCATCGAGAGTGGTGAGAAAACCTCCGTTAGCCTCATTCATTCTCTCCATCTGTTCCCCGTCACTGTTTCGGCTTCAAAGCCTTGTTTTCCCAGGGCTCACCAAGCCACGCATTTCCAAAACACTCCAGGGGACGCAGTGGGTCACATCAAGAGAGCGTGCTGGCCTGGCCCAGTGTCCAGTCGCAGACCCAGCAGCCTTGGAGTCAGGCCTCACTTGACCCTCACAGCCACCATTGAGGCCACTGGGATTGTCCCACCTAACAGAGGAGGAAATGGGTTCACGGAAAATCCGGCTCTTCTTCACTCTGAAGTCTATTACCTTTCACTCCCCCGTGATGCTGACATGTGTGATTGGGCAGAGCTTGGGTGGAGGGCAGGGCCCTGGCTCCAAGTTCAGATCCCAACATTGCTGCACACTAGCTGTTGACCTTGGCAAAGGCATTTATCTCTCCAGGTGTGTGTGTTTTGTGAGGGTTGGCGGGATGGAGTTGTTTTTGTTTTTATTTGGTTTGCTTTCCCACTGGTTTAATATTTATTGTTTTCCTTGGCAAAAAGTCAAAGTGCTAAATTTTTTTAAAAATAAAACATCCTACTTGTTTTTTTTTTAACATACAAGTTGGTTTAAAATGGCCAAAGTTCAGGGAAAACTAAGAAATCTACAGCCTGTAGTTTAATAATAGAAAAAATAAGACAATCATAAGGTCTATAGCATCTAGCATCCTCTTAGTTGCCCACGTTTCCTTAGCTACCCAGATCAAAGACATCCAGGTCATGTTCAGCCAGACAGACAAGACTCTCATTGCTTACTTAATGTACCTTTCTATTGTTTGAACTTCTTACAATGAGCTTGTGTTACTTTTATAACAGCCTCAAAAATAATAAGAACATTCTTTTTAATTTTTATTTTATATTGGAGTGTAGTTGATTAACAATGTCATGTTAGTTTCAGGTGCACAATAAAGTGATTCAGTTATACATATACATGCATCTGTTCTTTTTCCATTTTTTTTTCCTATTTAAGTGATTACAGAACATTGAGCAAGCAGAGTTCCCTGTTCTATACAATAGGTCCTCGTTGATTATCTATTTTAAATAAAGTAGTGTGTGTAGAACATTTTAAAATTCTTTGATGGTTTCCCATATATCTAGAATTCACACCCCTTAAATGATTCAGGTTCTTTGTAATTTGTCCCTCCAAATTCATTTTTCAGTTTCCCCTGGAGAAGCTATGTTCCAACCACAACCATCTACCTTCCAGTCCCTAAATATTTATTCATTCAACATCTATTGAGTGTTATATATGTGCTAAGCAGTGTTCCAGGAGATGGGGTCATGACAGTAAACAGATATCCTTACTACTGTGGAACTAATATTTTAGTGCCTATCTCTGTTCCATGTTAGTTCATATTCTTCTTTCCCCAACGTGTCTGTCCTCTCATTCTCTGACAACATCCCCCCATTCCGTCTGTCTCAGTTCAGATGCTACATCCTCTGTGAGGACCCCAGGGTTACCCTCCATCACAGGTAATTCCTTCTTCTCCCAAGCATCCATGTGCCCTGCCCGTAACTTCATGACAGTGCTTCTTCCAGCCAGTCTGAATACAAGATGCATCCAAGGTGTAAAAGGGGGGGATAAAAAACGACTTGAACTCAGGAGACAGGCTACCGGAGCCGGGCAGACACGAGCTCCTTCCTTCCAGGCTTTTCACAAGGAATAAAGGAGGAGCATATACAAAACATTCAGCACAGAGACAGCCCAGAGTTAATGGTCAGTCATTACTTTCTGGATGAACAACTGTACTCTAATGATGTTTTTGGATTTGTATTAAAAATTAGCTGGCAGCTAGCATGGGAGCTTGTGCCCAGCACTCTGTGAACATTTTTTGAATCTATTTTGAATATAATCTGTCATTGTTTGGGGATTTTTTTTTTCAGGTATTCTGTTTACAAGGATCCAGCAGGCTGGCTGAATATCAACCCCATCAACGGGACTGTCGACACCACTGCTGTGCTGGACCGTGAGTCCCCATTTGTCCACAACAGCGTCTACACTGCCCTCTTCCTGGCAACTGACAGTGGTGAGCAACTTTTTAAATTCCAATAAGTGTGTACTTTGCAGTTCCAAATATATCTTTACACTTTTACATTTCTTTTGTTAGGCCTAGTGGTGTTCTTGGTAAGAACAGAAATGTGTGACGCCTGGGAAGCAAAGTGCATAAACACATAGTGAGTCAGTAAAACCCCCAAGTCCTGGAATCCTCAGGTCTTTGTCTATATAGAGGTCAGAGCAGTGAGCTCACCCTGTTCCGTCTCTGACAGGCACCAAGGCTCGGAAGCCAAGCTGATGTCCTTCATCCTGGCTCCTGTTCTCATCTACAGGGACCGTTCTTTTCCCTAATGCAAGTTGAAAGAAAAGCCCAGGGGACATCACGGATCCTGATGATTGAATTGTCCCCATAGCTTTGTTCCTGTTGTGATATACACCACAGAAAGACATCAAGTCCCCTCAGCTAGTACCTTGGTAATCACAAAGCAATTCCTGTTCATTCAGAAGCTAATAATACAAGATCCACAAGCCAGACTCTGTTCCAGACGCTGGAGATAGAGTCGTGAACAAGCAAAGATCACTGTCCTGGTGTGGCTGGTGTACTCATGGAGAAAGGAAGGAATCTGACTAAAATACATAATGTGCTTTTGGGGAAGAAAAAGGAATACTATTTATGTATGAAACAGGGAAACAGGAAGAAGAGATAGCAAACAAAAGGATGCTATAGTTTTAACTAGAGAGCCCTGAGAGGCTGACTGAAGAAGTGGCGTTTGAGTCAAAACATGAAGGAAGTGGGGATGGGACCCCTGAAGCAAACTTAGGGAAGAACAAGGAGGCTGGAGGCCAGAGCAGAGAGGGCAGTGGCCCAGGATGCGGATCGTGGAGGGTCACATGGGCCCCTGGCTTCTACTTTGTGTGAAATGGACACCATTACCAAGTGCCACAATCCTTCTGCTGCTCTTTTGAGACAAGGAAATAAGACCAAATCGGGACACCTCCTAGGAAAACTGGGGACAGTCTAGGGAAGATAGTGGCTTGGACCACTAATATAGGAGGGGATGAGAAGGGGTCAGATTCTGGAGATAGTCTGTAGATTTCAGATGCAACGCTAACAGGATTTGCTACTGGTTGAGATGAGGGGGATCAGAATTCGTTTTCAAGTATATTAAGCTGAGATGTCTACTGTATCAATCACATAAGAAGTTTCGCTCTCCCTGTAATTCCTGGAAGCCAGCTGTTCATAGCTGAAGACTCAGTTCTGAGTCCTGTTAAGTGCATTGAAATGGATATTTATAGGGTTCTTTATATGTGCCTTCATTCCCTTAATGGATGAACTGAGACTTCTCAGAGGCTGGGTACTTCCATGCACACCAGATAGGAGAGCACATCTGAGAAGTGAGCGATCGGTGTGCCTCACAGTGGGCAAAGTGGGCTCCACAGTGAGTCCACCTTAGAGTCTGGCCTTGAGAGGCGGGGAGGATTGGGGCAGGTGACAGGGTCGGAGGTGAGGTACCTGGGGCCACAGAGCAGTGGAATTAAAACTAAAAGGGGGCGTGGCATGGGAGGTAAGAAAAGGGTTATACCCCCTGTGCCTAAATGTGGAGAAGTTCATCTGGATGCACATGGAAAACGTCTTCAAAACAAGTCATCTGAGGAAGCAGGCACCCACAGGACCCCACATGCTCTTGAGGAGGAAAGTGACATGATGAAAGAGCACATGGACACTCATCAGCAGAGACCTGGACCAGACCCTGTCGTGGTCTGGAGACTCAGAGATGAACAGTACATCATCCTTGTGCTCAGCGAGCTAACGAGTTATTGGAGTTAGAAAAGCAAGCAGGAGATGACCAAAGAACATCATAGCTGTCCTACAGGAATTAACCAGAGGAGCCCCAGACCATCCAGTCTCAGAGTGGTCATGGGGAGCTTCTTAGTTGAGGGGATCTCTAAGCCAAGTGATGAAAGATAAGTTGAGAAAGGGTAAGACGTTCTGCTAGAAGCCTGAAAGAAAGTGGATATGTGAGACCCTGAAATGTTGCTCAGTGACTGGAGGCTCCATATTTACAGAGATAAGGGAACTGGATCTTGTGTGGAATGCCCAGCTCCTATCACATGCCAGACTTTGAGCGGGCACTCATGTATTTGTTGAATAGATAATACATTAGGTCGTTCTCCACAGGCCATGCTGAGAAGTTTTATTTGATTCTCAAACTCCTCCAGGATAACTCTGTACTTTAGGAAGGTAACCCCCACAGCAGTGTGGAGCTCAGTCAGGTCATGGTGAGACATGAGGTAAGGCAGCCCTAGAGAGCCGTGGAGAAGTCAGGGTAAGAGAGGCGGTGGAAGTAGTCGCGGGAAACACGTTTTTCAACAGGAAACACGTTGAAAGCCATCACGCGTGTCTTAGTTAAAGGGACCACGCAGCCTGGTGGCAACAGAAGCGAATTAGAAAGGGCGAATCCAGAAAACATCTGGATGTAAGAAACAAGGCTTTGAAAACAACGCATACTCAACATGAAACAGAGAAAGGTGATGGTAAGTTTCTAGTCAGAAACCTAGTCCATTAACTGAAACAGAACTGGTTTCAGAAGACTGTTGCCACAGTGTCTGTATGGGGTGGATGCTGAAATGGTCCCATGAGATGCTGCAAGGCAGGATGAAATAGAGGCCAGGAGAGGCTTTTCTCAGGGACTCCCGATGCAAGAGAGACGGGTGGCATCAGAGCAGATATGTTTTGTAGAAGGAGCAAGTCTAGACAGGGATCAGCAGTGGAGGTTTAAAATGCTATTCCAACAAATGGTGTCAGTGAGGATCAGCTGAAGTAATGACTTCAGAGTTCCAAGAACCACATAAATGTATCTGTACATGTAGAGAAAATTCTCAGCTAAGAACACCATGAAGGAAGTTTGAATATTTTATGCAATTAGTCATCCAAAAAAAACCTAGAAATGAAGTAAACTTTAATTTTTGCCAGAGACAGGTGTGACTGGGCAAGCTGCTTATAGATTCTGAGATTCAGCTCCTACAAAATAAGGAAGATAATTTCTGCTTATAAGGTTGTTGTGAGAAGATGAAGTGCTGGGCCCTCTACAGTTCCCATCAAATGTCATATTGAATGTTCAATAAATGTCAATCCCACCCCAGCGGGGTTATAGGAAGGAAAGAATGGACCTCAAGGAATATACAGTTTGAAATCTATTTCTTCTCTAACTCCATTAATACTAATATCAGGCAAGGAAATTCAAAATCTGGCATCACAGATGTTTCCAAAGTTTAGAAATGTCCCTGAAGATGGAATGGTAAATAAAAAACAAGTTGGCATCACTATACAGAGCCATCATTAGAGATGATAATCTTGAACAAGGCCCAAAAGACTTAGAGCAAAAAAGAGAATAAATTTTAAAAGATCTCATAAATCAGAGAAACTTTTGCTTAAAGTCTCCTTGTCACTCACCAAAAACTTATCTCTGGATATTATGTTCCACCAGGAAAAACCAACACTTACCTGTGAGATCAAAGTTAATAGTACTAACAGATGTCTCAGTGCTAAACAAAGTAAGAATTTTTATTTTATTAATTTTATAGAAATATAGTGTATTTGATGGGATGAAAGTATAATGAATTTTTGTCATGTACCATGAGGGAAGCTAAAGCAAAATAAATTGATTCTCTTCAAACAAGCAGTCAAGGGCTTCCCTGGGAGCTCAGCTGGTAAAGAATCCGCCTGCAATGCAGGAGACCCTGGTTTGATTCCTGGGTTGGGAAGACCCCCTGGAGAAGGGAAAGGCCACCCACTCCAGTATTCTTGGGCTTCCCTTGTGGCTCAGCTGGTAAAGATGCTGGAGACCTGGGTTCAGTCCCTGGGTTGAGAAGATCCCCTGGAGGAGGGCGTGGCAACCCACTCCAGTATTCTTGCCTGGAGATTCCCATGGACAGAGGAGCCTGGTGGACTGCAGTCCATGGGGTCTTGAAGAGTTGGACACGACTGAACAACTAAGCACAGCACAAGCAAGGAGCCCCTCGGGAATTTATGGCAAAACATGTCAATAAAATTCATGGCTGTGGGAACTTTCTGGTAGGATATGATAGACCCAATGTCCCTACTGCGAAAAGTAGAAAAATGTGGATAGATCACAAAAGTCTTCATTGTAAAGGCATCAGAGAGCTGCAGAAGCAGTAACACCTAAATCACCTAAAAAATAAAATAGAAAAACGGAAAGAACTGTTCTAAAAAGAGTATAAGGCCCCTAGCCATTTTTACCTCTCGGGGGCCATTTTAGATTTTGGGCAAGGATCAGGCTTGATCCAGGCAAGGCCCAGGATGGAGAGAAATAAATGAGAAATACTTGTAACAGTTATGTGACTGGTGTGACAAAGTGAAGACCTGAGGGCCCTTAACCACATGGTTATAGATAAATGCCTTTTAAAGGGTAGAGTGAAATCTCCCAGGGTCTCACGGAAACAAAGACCTAACAAAGCAAGCAAACTCGCCTTAAACACACAGCCGTTCTCTCTCTAAGACAATTGCCACGTTTTGAAGCTACAAGGGACTTGTGTGCAAAAGACACCACACAAAGAAGAATGGGTAAGGGACTTGAACAGATATTCACTACGAAAGATATACAAATGGCAGTAAATGTATGAAGAGATGCGCAACACTCATCAAGGAAATAAAAATTAAACTGTGCAAATATGAATTAAAATACAAATTAATCAAGGAAATACAATGACATTCAAAACTCAGCACACCTACAAAATGACTGAACTGAAAAGATGGGGAATGCCAAGTGTTGGCAAGGATGTGAAATCACTGGGACTCTCCCATCCAGCTGGGAGAAGTGTGATCTGGTACAACCACTTGGGAAGCTGCAAGTGTCAAATACCACTGAACATATGCATCCCCTGTGACCAGGAATCACATGCCTTACTATACATCCACCAGAAACGTATGCATCTCTTCACCAAAACCCACACACCCGAGTGTAACTACCAGCAATATTAATGCTAGCTCAAAATTGGAAACTATCCAAA